TGAAACCGGACTTCCCCGATGCTTTCTGTAATCTAGCGCATTGCTTGCAAATTATATGCGATTGGACCGACTATGACAACCGGTGAGTGCTTTCAGCTATCTTTGTCCCAGTTTCATTTTTTTGGATTTTGTGAAGATTTTTACTCAAGCCTTGCTTATTTCTTTCTTCAGCATGAAACGATTGGTAGCTATTGTTGATGACCAACTGAGTAAGAAACGCCTTCCATCTGTGCATCCTCACCATTCCATGCTTTACCCACTGACGCACCAGACTCGAATTGCCATCGCAGCAAAGCATGCCCAGTTGTGCACTGAAAAAGTAAGAACTTTTGCTTTGGAATGCTATTTGTTAAAATGTTCTATAACACTTTTTGTAGGTAGCAATGCTCAATCATCCTCCATTCAACTATCCAGATCGCTTGAGCGTACGCAATGGTGTTTCACGTCTTCGCATCGGATACGTATCATCTGATTTCGGCAACCATCCTACTAGCCATCTGATGCAGTCAATTCCTGGAATGCACGATCGTTCAAGGATAGAAGTAAGTCATCTGGTTTTGAGCCTGAGTTTGTTTCTCTGCATTGTTTCGAAATTTTTTTCTTTGATAATTTGTTACTTTCAAAGGGAGTTACTCAACTTAGGTCGGCCTTTTGAAATGAAACACACTTATCTAAAATCAGGTCGAAACGCTGTTTCCAAACATGCTGTCCTTAGCTGCGAAGCATTCCTCTAAAACGAGTTACGAGCTCATAAACACATGTTTGATGTGTTGAGACAACATTTCTTAGCAGGATACCTAGCAAATTAAAAGCTTGATTAGTTAAATATTGGGTAGGTCATAGTCTCACTTTTTGCATAGTAATATCACTGACAACCCGTTTGTGAACATTTTTGAATAGAGGCAGAAGGAAAAAGCGTTGGCGGAAATCGATCCCCCGATCCTCTGACTTTCAGGCAAGAGCGTTGCCACTTCACTAATGCATCCTTCAGTGCATTGCTTTTGACTATCAGCTACATGCCGGCGGGGCATAGGTCATAGTTGGGCTAATCTTGACTCCAACACAGATTAGTTTCTATATAATTAAAACAGAGTGATTCTAATTCTCTCGAATTGCCCCCCCCCCCTCCTCTCGGTATCATCTTCTTAACCTGACGATTTTGGATCTTCGTCATTACTCCGAAGCGAGTTAGGAAAGGGTCCTCGTAACTCGCTTTAGAGGAAAGGTTCGCAGCTAAGGGCAGCATATTTG